TCGAGAGGCTGGTTCCCTTAGTAGAGTTCCTGGCGGAATGGGTCCCCCACCCAGCAGGGAGTTAGGATACTACTTCATCGGAAAAAAAAAATCCTGACGTGCTGAACGTCAGGACTCTGAGGGTGGTCCCTATCGTGAAAGACCTGAGTTCACTGCACAAGAACACGGTGCCCTGTCTTTTCCGATGCCCTCAGGGGTCTGCTCTACTAACCCTGCCTTCACAGGGCGTAGAGAGACTCGGCGAGCGATTTCCCGAGGGACGCTCGCCCCCTCCGAGGAGGGTTGTGGAGTGCCCAGACCAGCTGTTCCCTGCCAGTACGTTACAGGGCGCTGTGTCTGTCACTGGGGATGTTCAAATCAGATCCGAGGACTGGTTTGTCATGATAGATCTAAAGGACGTTTACTTCCATGTATCTATCCTCCCTCAACACAGGAAGTTCCTGAGGTTCGCTTTCGGGGGCGAAGCGTACCAATATCGGGTTCTTCCGTTCGGCCTAGCACTGTCACCCCGAACATTCACGAAGTGTATGGATGCTGCTATAGCCCCGCTGATGTTACAGGGCATCCGCTTTCTGTACTATATAGACGATTGCTTGATTCTAGCTCAATCGGAACAACAGGCGGTTCGGCACCGAGATGTCGTTCTTGCTCATATCAAGTGACTGGGGCTGAGGCTCAACGCCAAAAAGAGTGTTCTTTCTCCATTACAGAGAACCACTTTTCTAGGTGTAGTGTGGGATTCAACGACGAGGTAGGCACGATTGTCACCTGCTCGTATTGCTTTGATTCTCGCTGCAGTAGATCAGGTCAAGCTAGGCCAGTCATCCACTGTAAAACAGTTCCAGAGACTGTTAGGTCTCATGGCAGCTGCGTCCAACGTGATACCTCTTGGCCTCTTGCACATGAGACTGTTACAGTGGTGGCTCAGGACCAAGGGATTCTCCCCGAGGGGAAATCCGCTTCGCATGATCGTGAGTTCGCGACGGTGTCATCACGCCCTGATCATGTGGAAAGATCCTTGGTTTCTGTCCCAAGGCCCTGTGTTAGGAGCTCCTTGTCGTCGCGTTATGCTAATGACAGATGCCTCTCTCACGGGTTGGGGGGCGATCATGGATGGTCGCCTGGCTCAGGGTCTGTGGGAGGACCATCATCGTCTGTGGCACTTAAACTGCCTAGAGATGTTGGCGGTGTTTCAGGCTCTGAAACACTTCCTCCCAGACCTAAGGGGCCACCATGTTCTTGTCCGGACAGACAACACATCGGTGGTTTCTTATATCAACCATCAGGGGGGTTTGCGTTCTCGCCCGCTTTACAAACTGGCACGTCAGATCCTTCTATGGTCCCAGGGGAAAATTCTTTCTCTGAGAGCTATTTATCTCCCGGGGTATTTAAATCAGGGGGCAGACATCCTGTCAAGACAGGGGCCGAGGCCCGGGGAATGGAGTCTTCACCCCGAGGTGGTGGAACTCCTATGGAAACATTTCAGTCTTGCCGAGGTAGACCTATTTGCTTCTCGAGAAACATCACACTGCCCGCTGTGGTTCTCTCTCAGCCATCCAGCCCCGCTGGGGTTGGATGCGATGGTACATCCGTGGCCGAGGTCACGCTTGTACACTTTTCCCCCGATCGCTCTGCTCCCAGGAGTTCTGGAGAGGGTTCGCCGGGACGGGCTCAGTCTCCTGCTAATAGCCCCGTTCTGGTCGGCCCGGGTATGGTTTGCGGACCTAGTGTCTCTCCTCGACGGCTCTCCCCTAGAGATACCGATCAGGAGAGATCTGCTCTCTCAGGCGAGTGGGTCGATCCTTCACCCCCGTCTAGAGCTATGGAGGCTGTGGGCTTGGCCTCTGAGGGGGCCCAGCTCATAGATTCTGGTCTCTCGGCTGAGGTCGTTGAGACCATCCTCCGATCCAGAGCTCCCTCCACGAGGAAGTTATATGCCGCGAGGTGGAAACTTTTCAACTCTTGGTGTGGAGAGCGCCAGCAGGACCCAGTTAACTGCCCGGTTGGTACAGTGCTGGATTTCCTGCAGGACCGTCTCTCCACAGGGTTATCCCACTCCACACTGAAGGTGTATGTGGCGGCCTTAGCTGCTTACCACACCCCTTCAAGTGGAGGTTCCCTCGGGAAACACCCACTTATGTCTCGCTTCCTTCGTGGCACCTTGAGGCTGAGGCCTGCAGTTCGCACGAGGGTACCAGCTTGGGATCTGGCCATCATCTTAGAAGGTCTCTCCCTTGCTCCTTTCGAGCCCATCGAGGAAGTTTCGGAAAAGTTTCTTACTCTAAAGACTATCCTTCTTCTCGCTATCTCATCTCTAAAAAGAATTGGAGATATTCAAGCACTTTCGGTGGCTCCCTCGTGCCTGGAATTTGCTCCTGGTTGGTTAAGGCCTTTCTCTTTCCGAGACCAGGTTATGTTCCTAAGGTTCCAACTGTTTCAGTTAGACCTATAGTTCTGCAGGTTTTCTGTCCTCCGCCTTTTCTGACGTCAGACCAGGAGAAAATTAATTTGCTGTGCCCAGTTTGGGTTTTGATGCTTACGTCCACAGAGCTGCCCTGTGGAGGAGATCGGAACAACTGTTCGTCTGTTTGGGTCACCTAAGAAAGGGTGTCCTGCATCTAGAAAAAGGATGAGCAAGTGGGTGGTCGAGGCCATCCCACTTGCTTATGGTTCGGCCCAACAGCCTTCACCTTTGGCTGTAAGGACTCATTCCACCCGGAGTATGGCTGCTTCTACAGCTCTTCTTTCAGGAGCTTCTCTTCAGGACGTTTGTGATGCGGCAGGCTGGTCCTCACCGCACACTTTCGTTAGATTTTATTCCCTCGATCTTAGCTCCACTCCCGGGGCTCAGGTTCTCTCGTCGGTTTGTGTCTCCTAATGACACACGACGGGGATTTGGTCGTATGGGGATGTGGGTATTGCGTTCCCACTGCGATTACACGCAGCGGTAGTCCCTGAAGGGGAACGTCCCGGGTTACGTATGTAACCCTAGTTCCCCGAAGGGACGGACGCTGCGTGTCCTGCCATACTCCCCTTGGGTCGCTGCTTCAGTAACTTTTAAGCTGGCGTATTGTGTACTCAGGGGATATTTATAGCTTCCTGGTCGATGACGTCACTCGCAGTACGCTCATTCTCTCCATTGACTGATTTCATTCATGCTTCAGACGCGTCACGCTGAGGGCGTTCCCACTGCGATTACACGCAGCGTCCGTCCCTTCGGGGAACTAGGGTTACATACGTAACCCGGGACGTTTTCAGAGTTTCAAAACTTTTTTTTACACATTCGCACACCAGTTTTCAGATCACCATTTACAAGGTTTCAAACCTGGAAAACAAACTAATACAGTGGGAGAACAATGACAAATTTGAAACTCTGAAAAATTGTTTGCGCAACATCGTAAAAAAATGTTGCAGTTCTGAAGAAGGAAATCTCAAAAACAACAATGTTTGCAGAGATATTTTTAATTTTTTTACATTTTGCAAGCTTGCAAATCTTATTTTTCGATCTTGCAAAACTTTTTTTTGTAAGATTTTGAGTTTTCAAACACTTACTTTCAACCTTTCAGAACTTTATTTTCAGTTTTGAATCATGGCAGGATATTAATCCCATACCCGTTAGATGAGGGAGACATACAAAATGTGCAGGTTTGAGAAGCAGTGGTTTTAAGATTTGGGGATTCAACAGCATTGTTATCATCCTATCATTTCCCTTTGATTTCAGGGAAGAGCTGCACGATTCTGGATAAATTGAGATTTTTTGTTTCAAACCGAGATCACGATTCTCCCATGATTCTGAACAGACAACTAAACAACATAGCATGTAATTTACTAGAGGTTCTGACAGAATGTTAATTGCTGTATTCTATTTAAAATGTTTAATTGATCTGAATTGATTATATTTAAAAAACGGTTTGAATTAATGATTCAATGGGCCCTATCTTGCACCCAGTGCAATTGACTTTGTATACCGATGCATGTATCATTCCTATTTTGCACCCGACGCACAGCAGACTTTTCCCTCCACAAACGCACATCAGTAAATTAGGGAATGAACTTGTGCTCCCGGGCTTCAGCGAAAAGAGGAGGCGTGTTCCAGCGCAAACGTTCCTGGTGCTGTTGCTTCCAGAAAACAATTACGGCACTGACCAGGAAAAACCTAGTCTAAAGTCAGTGGCGCGTTATTCAGATGTTATTTTAAGGGTGCATGCTTGGCCATAATCTAGCGTGTGCACAACGCGCATACACTTTGCTTCTCTCATCTACACAGACGCAACAGTTCTCATTTTTGCAAATCATACATTATTACAAGGAAAAATATTAACACACGAGGGAAATCACCGTGGTGTCCATGAAGATGTTATACGCCTGTTTAACCGAAGCTAATTTGGGTGGGTTTTTCCCATGATCCCCATACAATGTCACTTCTCTGTCTTTTACGGCCCTGACGAGAACGTCGGTCTCCTCGGCTGTGAACCACTCCTGGTGTGTGCCTGGCAAATCCACCATTATAATAGCAATCCGCCATGGAACAAACACGCCTGCTCTTAAAGGGAATGTGAGAAGACGCTCTGATTGGTTTATTGCACGTTACCCCCAAACAACACCTATGAGTAATGTAGCTACTTCATACCAACCCAATTTTGATTTGCGTTGGGCGCAAGACTCATTTATCCCACCGGTATAATAGCAAGAGCTCCCGAGATCCGCCCACAAATTTACTTGCGTTTCACGTTTGATACTTGCGTTTCAGATCGTTAAAATAGGGCCCAATGACTCACTCATAAAAACTTAACTTGTTGCATTATTGGATTCATTTTTGAACGAATCACTTGAATAAACGATTCAATGACACATTCATTTTTATTTTATTTTTGTGGTGTAACGATGCATTAATCGTGCAGCTCTATTTCAGGGGTAGAGACAGAAACAAAACATTTATTTTCCTAGTCATTTTCCAAAACTCATGGTCACCTCATGCTGTGCGAGTTCTAACTCTGTACCTTGTTCCAGGTCATGATAGGCTGCTTGTAGGGGGCGAGATAGTCATCAATGTCAGGGCAGGTAATCATTTTGCTCTTGGTGATCTCGGCCCTCTCCTGGTAACGTATTCGACTGCTAAAGCAGAGTCCCTCTTCACTCTCCTCAACCGTCAGTGACATGGACACCTTCATACAGTACGTTGAGTTTCTGTGAAGACAAACCATTCAATTGGTCATGACATGAAAAATCTTTATAAGAGGTCACTGTAGTATGAAAATACTGTACATTTTAGAGTTCAATATTCCTCATCTCTGAGCATTTGTTGAAAATCAAGCTGGCAAAATGACTATTTTTCTACTTCCACCATATTGTGACATCACACTGTAGTAGACATTTGCATCAGACCCTTATAACATTATACCTCAAGGAACATTTTAAAATAATAATATTTCATATTTATTCAAAAAGTTCTTTACACATTACACAAAATTTTACACATTCATTTTTAGTAGACACGACAGCCATCGGCACTGATCCTCAACAAACTCGTCTCCATACCCGTGTGATGACTCCGACTTCCAACCAGATGGAACTGGATTAATATTCTGAATGTTCTGATCCAATCTGACTTCTGACCTGTAATGCTGCCTGGATCATAATCATACACTGTTTGTTCGTTGGCCAGAGGAGAACTGGCCCCCGACTGAGCCTGGGTTCTCCCAAGGTTTTTTTCTCCATTCTGTCACTGATGGAGATTTGGTTCCTTGCCACTGTCACCTTGGCTTTTGGCTTGCTTAGTTGGGGACATTTAATATTCAACAATATTATTGATCTGCCTTACTTAATACAATATTTGATACAATCTGTACTGTAAAAAGCGCTATATAAATAAAGGTGACTTGACTAGACCCCCTCTTTGAGGATGTTTCTTTTTTTTTTTACGTTCTTTTATTCATGAATCATGACCATTTCTTATTAGATGTTCTTCACTATAGTTCGTTTGAACATGGCGTAAAATAACAATGCATGTCCTCTGGGCTTCTGTACATTTGGAAACATTACATGTCATGAATGTGAACATAAAGCTCAGATACTAGAAATCTCTAGCTTTTTCCACACATTTTTTGAATCGCCTACTGCACTGATTTTCTTTTTGTCTGTGCGATATCAGAAGCACAGGGCTTGGCCACAGTAGTAATTACTTGTACATTAGATAGGAACAGTTTAATAATTATTAACCACCCCACTGCTCCATTCTTGTCTTTTTCCATTATCCCATAATGACACCCAGCTGAATTAATTGAGAGTTGTGTTGTGCTATTCTGTTATTAAAAAATCTGATAACTCATGTCATAATGTTCAAAGGGAATCAATTAATGATGAGAAATACAGAGGATCTGAAAAATTAAAATACATCTGCATGCAAATATAAACCAACGCCGTATTCATTAGGAGAACGCTGTGCTGAGATGAAACAAACTGCATCTCCCACACGCAGGAAATGTCTCATTAAACATTTATATGCATATCATTCAAACATGTAAAACAATCTTCCCTCAATAACGTTTTTTTTTTTTTCACAGGAATTCCCTCGAACAAGGATGTTGCCACCATGAGCAATGGCCGTTCAAACATACAGAACAAAATTTCACATTACATTATCTCAATAACATGAATATAAATCGTTCTGAAACAATCCAGAAATCAACACAAATGGAATTATTTCTGGGCCAGTGCGGGTGTAGATGTTACTACTATTACTAGTAATACTGAAAGGCATGTGTGCTGCTGACTCATCAATAATGTTGAGAGATTGCATCTTCTGTGACATGGATCAATGGAGTTATTTGAGGCCTGAGGCTGCAGAGAGGCCAGGGTGAACACATCTTCTCCTGTCCCAGATGACATTGAGAGTGGACAATGGAAATAGGGTCTTTCGTACCTGAAAACTGCTGACCTAAACCTGATTGCATTGCAAAGAGAGGCAAAGATTCTTCCTGTGTGCAACACAATCCAGCAGCGACTGCAGAACAGCCATTTGAAATCCTCCCTTTATGCTGCTAATAAGGGCATTAGGCTACTATTTGAGCGGTAATGAGGCTTCACCGGTCCAGTCATGGTCAAATTTGTGAAAGTTGCCACTCTGCATAGCCTGGAAAATCTTAGAATATTAGAAACCAAAGACAAAAGTTTATTTTTAACAACATCCCTGATCATTATTCCCTGAAAAGTCTGTCCAGCACAGTTCACCACATCTTTGATTGTGATTTTTTTTTTTATCTGTCACGATGTAATACAGAAAAAGGGCTGTTACTAAATAGGCCATTTTATATGCAAAGGGGGCGTTTTTTATTAGCAGAAAGAGACTGACTGTTTATGAAACAAGTTGAAGTTGGACTTGAAAAAATAAAGACTTGTCCCAGAAAAACTTGACTAGCAATTATATAAATGTAAAAATGTTGTATGAATATGGTATGACTTAAACTGATGCAGTTGAAAATGTAAGATATAATTAAGCTTTAAAGTTTAGGGTTGAATTGTTTTACATTGACAAGCACATCGGTTTCACCCCATACTTCATTCTGAACGATTAATATAGAAACAAAATTTGTACACTGTTTATAAATTTTAAATATCAAAAGATTCATGTTGGTGCTAGATGGAGCTGTTAATAAAGACTTTGATATTTTATGTCACGCTATAAATTTAAAGCGTTGAAGGCATAGAATGTAAGTTTCACTGCTAAGGTTGCTTGTTCAAAACAATAACAAAGGCGTAGGTTGATGTTGTCTTCACCTCCACAGCCGATGGAAACATCCAAAGGGGCAGAAATCATGGTCATGGGTAAGCTAATGTATTAAAGTTTTATTAACAGAACTGTGGTATGAAGCAGGGCAGGGATGAGAGCCTTGGACTTTTTTTACGTTGCTGTTATTATGCTTATATGCTGCAAGTGCTGAATTACTACTCATACAGGTCACTTTATTATTATTTTTTTACTTGGTTAAAACAATCATAGTAAAATACTTTTGAGTATGTTGAAAGCTGTCATAACGTTACTCTGTGCTTTCGCTCAGTGGCTGCTAGATCAATATTAGAATATAATAATAATATATTAATCAAAGCTGGATGACTTGTGTTGCTAAATGGTATGCAATTAATTTTAAATATATATTGTATGGTGGAGAAAATGCTGTATTACTGTTCCTACAAATAAAGATCTTTCTGATTATGCTATCTTAGCATTCTGTCTGAGGCATGGTACAAACATGAAAACGTAAATCAAGAAAACAAGAGATTCAAACAATAAGACTAACCATGTTGAGCTATATGATTAGTTTCTGTCAATAAAAGCATCCAAACATTAGCTCACCTGTCTAATAAAACATAATATTTTAAAGCGTCTTAGGGCGGATATGACATCATTGACAGACGAAGCAATGACACGGGCCGTTACACTGGTTAAAATAGCTGATTTCTCTGGATTTAAACATTGATTGAAACAAGTCAACAAAATGTATAACATTGTTTTAGTGGTTTTGGGATATTTTAATCTAAAAATCTTACATATTGTGCCTTTAAAAGATACCTGTTTTTGTATAGTATGTTATTTATTAATGTATGTTTCTCAAAGAAATCCTACACATTAAGTATTATGCATGACAATATGTATATTTATGTCTCTCACTAAAGACAAAACTGTGCAGGCTACCTGTTTGTGCATCTACAGATTAAAGCTAGTTAAGATTTATCTTTGTGTGCACCAACTGATTGTGTTTATTAGCACTGATTGCATTATTGTGTTCTGTAGTGTTTATTAACTGCCACAGTGCAAACTGTATTGAATGGGATTGTATTGATTGTTAACTAAGAAAGCCAGCATGCTGTTGTCCAGTATTACTGCTACACACACTGCATCAATGATAGTGAGTTTATCATCAAAGTAAGTTTAGCATCAAAGATTATCTTCTTATTCATAATTTTTAATATCGACAGTGTGTCTTCATTTCACACTAATGGAGAACTGGGCCATCTGCAATTGCTCAACTACACTTGTTTCTGTGGTTAATAAAGCTACACTCAGGGCTGGATTTACCTTATATTGTATAGGCAAAATAAAATTTTGGGCCAAGCTTACATTAAACATATATCATCGCTGTCAGGCGGAAACCTCATATGTCAATCACTACTTGGAAATGGGGGGAAAAAATTCGTAATAAACCCTGTGTTGTCAAAGTTGATATTCTGGCTTTATGTGACACACTTGCATGTGTCACATTATTAAGATCCTACCAAAATCAAGTTCAAATTGAGTTTTTGACCAGTAAATGTAGGACTTACGCATTCGTTTTTTTCTGCCATTAAAGCGCACACACCTAAGGCAGTGCATTGCATTACGTTTTCATCAACTTACAGGTTATTTAGTTATTAAGTTTACTGTATCTATGTGGGCGCTCAGTTTTTCATTTTTTTTTGTCCAAAATCTCATGTAATAAACGATTAAGTGCTACACACAGTTTATTTAAAACAGTATAGACTATGACTCGACGACAAATGCTCCTCAAATACATAAAACATTAGTATATCCTTTATATAGAGGGAGTTTCTATATAAAGGATATATAGTATATTTCCTTTATATAGTATAAACCTTTAAATAGAGGGAGTTTCTTGAGTAAAGAAAACTCTGTACTTATTCAAACAAGCAGTTCTTGTTTACCCTTGCAAACAAGCAGAGATGGACTAAATAAACTGTGTGCGGCACTTCATTGACGATAGAAAGAGGGGTGGAGTTAATATGAGGTTTGACCGACCGTTTGAGGATCTAATGGAGATACGAGGTTTAGTCACAAGCTCTTTTTAATACATTTCATAGGTTAAATATTAGTAAAAACCCACAGACAGGCGTAAAGGGTGACCAATAGTAATGATTTATGGGGGGAAAATGATGAAATGTATAGATACAAGGTTTCAGCCCGATATTTTACATTTTGTTCATATCGATTTTGTATTAGACTTACATTGTTTTACCATTAGAGTGAAATAATAATCATTTAAAAAATATATTATTTATTTTCATTATAACTGGACCCCCCTGGACGTGCAAGTACTGTATAGGCATGTGCCTAGAATGGCTATGCATAAATCTGGCCCTAGCTACACTCAATTCAATTCAATTCAAATGAGCTTTATTGGCATGCCGCATGA